CATCAGATTCTAAAATATAAAGAGGAACTTGCTGAATTTTTTAGTGATGAACTTCGTATAATCATTGATCCTTTTGAATTTGTACTTGTTGAAAAATTGAATGCCGTATTAGAAGTTTTTAATAACGCAACTCTTACTTTTTCTCATGTTTACCAACCAACTACAAATAAATTTTTAAAAGAGTGTGTTACAATCGCAACATGTTTTCGTGAAAGTAAGGCTGATCCAGATTTGTACCCATATGTCTCTCCTATGATACAAAAATGGTGTTCTTATTATTTGTACATTCCTGATATTTATAAAATAGGTATTATTTGTGATCTACGCTTTAAAATTGAAAATTATAAAATTTTAATTGATTATTACTACAATTGTTTTTTAGATGAAAATAGTTATTACTACTCTTATTTAGTAGAATGGAAAAAAGAAAGAGATAATGCTGTAACTTTTTTTGAGAATTTGTTTGAGGAATATCAAGGGTTATACGGCACTGTACAAGAAGAAACAGCACCACCTCCGCCCCCGAAATCAAAAAAAGGTTTTGCCGGAATAGTCGGTGGGCTTCTTGCAAAGAAAGGGAAGCGTGCTCATTCTTCGACGAGTTCAAGTGGTACAACAGTAAGCTCGCACAACGAACTTGCTATGTACCAGGGTGTGCCATGCGATTACGATGAAGACGAAGTGGATTTTGACGTGCTCGGATGGTGGAAGCAGAACGAACACATGTTCCCATGTCTCGGCATGCTAACTCTTAACCCCCTTTATGATTTAATATTCATTAAAACATATAGATAGGGCAAGTAAGGGTCGATCCCACGAGGAAAGATACTTTTTAAGCTATGAAAATCAGTTTACTTTGTCACTTTTATTGAATAAAAACTAACTAAATCTAAAAACTAAAACTAAAGGATATGAGGGGTTTGAATGATAATTCTAAAAAGATAAAAATGTAAATAAAATAAAGATAAAAGATAAAAGATACGAGATAGAAGCACAACAGTAACTCGAACTCAGAAGACACTCAGGGAGAAAACAAACACACAAAAACAATCACACAATAAACTTTATAAAAACTTAGAAAATAATAATTAACTTAAGTCATTTTGAAAATACTTATAGTTTTTAATAGAAAATAAATTGAACAAATCTGATTAACTAATTAATTATGCCTTGATTCTGAAATTAAACTGCTAATTAAACTCAGGGTTAGGCTGAAGAAGAGGTCCACCAACGGCTCTTCCCTATTTTCTCATTCATATTAGCTAATGTTAAGACCAACCCTAACTCTAAACCCTACTACCCTTAGCAACCAAAAGATCAACACTTAAGTTACTACTACGAATAGCGCATAAAGATTTGTGGAAAACATCACCATAACAATTTTGCAGTAACACTTCGGCTATTTAACAAAATCAGTTCGAGAACCTTGATTAGCAAAACCACTTAGCGAGGCAGCCAAGGCTAATCAAGTGACACTTAGTTTCTAGAAAAGTTCGGCTATTTAAAGCACTTTGGACTTTGAAAGAATATCATTTTAAATTGGATTAGGCGCGTGTTCCTAATTTTAGTCGAGTTTAAGTAAAATCTGATGAATAATAGTTCTAAAAACACCTTTTTGAGTTTAGATTTAACAGTAGCATAGAGCTAAAATCTCTTCAATGTCAAATTAATTCAACAGACAAGGATTCAATCTTTTTTATCAAACAATTTGGCCTAAGAAGGTTTTATAATTTAGTGACAATAATCAATCACTAAACCAGATTTGAACAATTCAACATCCACACACAAACAATTCATCACTTATAATACTCCCTCCATTCCAAAAAGATTGGTACATATTGACTTTTTATGAAATTAAGGGAGGGATATTTTAGTATTGATTTTCCAAAAATACCCTTGATGTGATGGGTAAAAGTAGGATGTGATGGTAGATTATTAGGAAAAAGGTATGATGTGATAGGTAGGGTATGAAAAAGTAAGGGGTAAAAGTGGTTTTTTAATAGCAATGTAACGGACTTTACGGGACACAATTTTTTTGAAATGTGTCGGACTTTTTGGGTCGGAGGGAGTATAACTTAAACATTCAACATAAAAACAAGACTTGAAAATAAATAGAAAATATATTTAGTATAGGAAATCATATTCAACAATTGGAATTGAACAAATATGATAGCCTAAAAATATAAGCAAGTATAATCAAATACGGAGTAAAAGGAATAAAGAACAAAACAGTCCCGCTAGGGGTACACCGTATGGGTACCCCAAAATCACCACCATATACACCCAGACGGCCAAACCCCCCCACCCCCACTTCCCCCACCCACGTTAGTTTCCCACCTTTTTTCCTTGCCCATTCCCTCTCTTCCCTCGCACGATTTCTCCCCCTGTCGTCAACTACCCGAGATTTTTCTAACACAATCGTTTTCTCCCACCGGACCTCCATCGGATGTCACGGCCGACCGTCCATCGTGTTCCTGACACTCGCGCACATCATCACTGTTAGACAATGCGTGAAACTCTAGAGGGGGGGTGAATAGAGTTGTTGAGAATGTTTACCGATTTTCGCAGGATTAATAAAATAAACGTAAGTGCAGCGGAAATAAAAGAGAGAAGGAAAAGAACACACCGATGTATACTGGTTCACCACCTCGTGGCTAGTCCAGTTCCCCGAGAGACTCTCTCGAAGCTACCACTACTTTCGTTAAGCTTACGGGTGCTTAACAAACCATTTACAACTCGAGAACTTGAATCCCACAAGCCTCGAAACAACCGCTCGTAGATATGCCCTCTACAAGACTTCACAACCAAGACTTAAGTCACATAAGTCTTGAACAACAAAAAGAACAATCTTCTTCAACCTGACAACAATGACTCTCACAAGAGTAGAAATGAGAAAAGATTAAGTTCTATGGATGACAAGAACACTCTCTTTAAAATATAATTTTCTCTCAAAATAATATAAATTTGAGGAATGATTGATGGAGGATTAACACCTCAAGAATGGGGAGTATTGGAGTGTTTCTTGTACTTAAAAATGACCAAGGAAGTGTGTTTAAATAGGAGTTGAAGAAATATATCCGTTGGTCCAGGAAAAGAAGCTGTGCAAGAAAAGATGCAGCGCATTAATCGATTAATGCATCATAAAAAATCGATTAAAGCAGCTTCAAAAATCGATTAAATTTGCTAGAGCCAAATTCCTTCTGCGCAGAAAAGTGATAATCGATTAAAGCCAAAGGTGTTAATCGATTAGTTCCTTCTGGACGCGATAATCGATTAATTCTAGAGGTAAAATCGATTATTGCAACAATAATACCCATACATGAAGAACACAAGCATGTGGGCGAGGTGAAGGACAATTTGGATTTAATCCAATGTTTGAGACATAGAAATCAGGATATGGAGGCTCCCAATTCAAATAAAATAATTCAAATTCAATTTTGAATTATGAGAAAGAATATTTGGTGTAGAAAATGAGTCCCAAAAATATTTTGTGTGTCAAACGATGTACACGAAAAATATTTGAATAAAATATTTTTGCTTACCAAAAATATTTTATAATATTAAAACAAATATTTTGATAAATGTTTGACACTTCTTTTGAAACTAACTCAATAAAAGTATTTTAAACAGTTAAAAGATTTTTCAACTGACTCCAAAAATAAATGTAATTTTTATTTTAACTCTCATAAAATTATTTTTGGAGAGAAGATATTTTTGTCATCCTTACAATATTTCCTAAGACTCAAATAAATAAAAAAAGCTTCGGAAATCTTCTATACCTCCGAGTCCTCCGTTAGGCGCTCCGAATGTGTCTCGGACTTCAACAAAATTCTGTGCACCTTCTTGAATACTTCAAGGAATGGCATTTCAAGTCTTCGTATATGTAGTTGTAGCACTTTAATCTTGACTTGAATAAATTGTGTTTGTCAATTATCAAAACCTGTGAGTCAACACTAAACAACACAGAAAGAGTTGAACTCATGCATTCCAACAATCACCAGTTTCCGTCACCATCATCGTCAATCATCATCACAATCTGGAAGCTTTGTTGTAGGAGTGTGTGCGTGATAATGTACGAAGAACCTCCGGTCGTCCCTATGTTTGTAGGTAAGTTAATCCGTACAGTAAACAGTATATGAACCTCTGTCATTCTAATTTTCAATTTTGTAACTCACACAGAGACTATGATGTATATGAAGTTGTAACACAGATGAAAAGTGTTTGTGATAATCTTAAAGAATGGAATTTTTTGGAAAATAGTCCTTTAATGTAACTGGATGAGGATTTTTCGTAGTAGTCGTATTGATCCATGTTTAAAAGCATGAAGAAGGGGTAAAAGATAATTTTGTTTGTCACTCTCTTTTCACAGACGGTATGTTATTTAAATTAAAGCATCACAGACATTTAATGTATGTAATAATTGGAATAAGGGGAATTATAGTGTTGTGACAGGTCTGTTGGTTTTTGACGAATATAGTTGTTATATCCATATGTTTAGTCAGACAATTACGTGTTTACAGTATTTCAACACAGACATACAATGTACATAGTTTATGGAACCGAGAAAATTTAGCAAAGTATGAGCTTAAGGTTTGTGCTTAGGATTTCACAGACAGTGTGGTATTTCATGAAGTGTAAAACAGACATTTACTGTATGTGATAATTGAAACTGGGAATTTTAATGTTGTGATTTGTTTTTCTTTGACAGATTTAATAGACATTGATGACATAGATCCTGTACTTGACATCTCTTTCATTGACATGTTGGATGGGTGCGAGGAAAACAACTACACAACAGGGCATTGTAAGTTTCAAGTTTATATAACCCTGCTCATGGTAAATATCATTAATACTAAGGTATTATATTGTTTTCTAGGTTTTGAGATGGACATGTCCAGAGAGCTATGTGTTGAAAAACACGGAATTGATGGAAATGTTGGAAATGTTTGTCCAGAAAAAGCGGTGTTGAACATGCCGGCCATGGGTAACTTGTCCACACATGAAGAGAATGAAAGTGATGGCAATGTTCGAAGAAGTGTTGAACTCCCAGTCCCTGTAAGCCTTGTCCCTAATGTTGGGATGAAGTTTTCGAATTATGATGCCATATATGAATTCTACCATACTTATGCAAAGGGAATGGGGTTTCCCATTAAAAAGGCCATACATGCATACTTTTGTACAATGCAAGCTAAAAGTGACGGGTTTTTTTTATAGCATGGACCTTGATGACAACTCAAAATTAAAAAACCTATTTTGGGCAGATAAGAGGTCTCGTCTTGCTTACAAGTACTACGGAGACGTTGTGACATTCGAGCCAAGAATTCAGCTCATCCCATTCTTCATGACTGAATGTTATAGAGAAGGGATTGTGTGGATTGTATTTTTTATTCAAGAGTCTTGGGTCGGTATAAGGGGTCTTCACAAATTTTGATTTTTTCTTCACCCTTTTGTTAGCATTTTCTGCTGCCAACTCCTTCTTTGGGAAGCCTGTTGCTCAACCACATCATTCGTCACTTGTTCCTGTAATACATAAACAATAAGGTATAAAATTAAAATTACGTACAATAAAAGAAAGTGTTTGTAAGCCCATAAAATATACACACATGCTCATACACAAGCTCAACAGGCCCAGGAGTTAAACAAGCTATAGCATACTCTTGGGTGTTGATGATATTATCTTGATACAACTACATACATGTACAGTGCAAAATAAAATATATGTCAATCATGTCTGGTCATATCTTGGAAAACAGACACTTCTCACCTAGTCCAAGAAAAAAACAGACACTTCTCACCTAGTCCAAGAAAAAACAGACACTTCTCACCTAGTCCAAGAAAAAAACAGACACTTCTCACCTATGACATGAATTACACAGACACTTCTCCCCTATGACATGAATTACACAGACACTTCTCCCCTATGACATGAATTACACAGACACTTCTCCCCACCCAAGTATAGTGTTATAGAGCAGTGTACATCCCAGAATAATTCAAATGTAAAAAACTTACATCATACACAGCTTTCTGGACAAGCTGATGACCTTCGTCTTGACTGCATTCTGCTCCCCCATCTACTTGCTTATCCAAAACCTGCTTTACCTTTTCTCCGTTGATCCCTTCTTCTTCTGCTTCTTTTCCTTGCCCGTTTCCTTTTCCACATTCATCTTCTTCTTTTTCGGCTTCTAGTTCTCCTTCTTCCACGTGATCTTCTTCTTCTTCTTCTTTTGTAGCCTCTTCATCATCATCATCTTCTTCTTCTTCTTCATCCCCTTCTTCTTCTTCTTCCCCTTCTTCCTCTTCTTTTTCTACTTTTTCCTCTTCCGCTTCATCTTCTTCATCACAGTGATCAGTCTTCTTTTTCTTCCCTCGATAGTGAGCACCCATTCTCTTCCTTTTTCTCCCTTGAACGCTCAATACTTCCTTTCCAATCTCTTTCCTTTTCCCTCGTTCAACCCTCGTCACATGGTCTACCGCCCCCTTCCTTTTCCTGCATACAACCGTGAACATATCCTTCACGTCACAACACAAACCATCAATCTTATCCTCGAATGCATCAATCCTTTTGTTTAGAGTGTTCTTTAAATCTTCAACACTTCTAAAAAACAAATCAAGTGTGTTGTCCTAAAACAATTTAAGGAAATAAGTTAGTAAAAAATCAAAAATACATCAAGCATATGGTAATGATGCTTTTATCAAATTCTCAACTATGATACCATCTTATTTGCGACTTCTTCAGGCTCACTAGGGAATAAAAACTGCTTTAGAGAGTGGTATTGTGGGAATTTCTTGGCTCTCCAACGTAACAGTGGACATTTTATCTCTCGATTACACTGAGCAACCTCGTCGTCAAGCACTGGAAACGTCTCATAAGCCCAAATCTGAGAAAATAAAACACTTGGAAATGAATACTTTAAATTATACATGTTACAAAAGTTCACAAAATGTGTCTGTTTTTTTCATGTCAGACAGATGATGTGTCTGTTTTATTCATGGCAGACAGATTTTTAATTCTGTTTTATAAATATACACAAACAGATGTGTCTGTTTTATTCAGAGCCTAGGTGAGAAGTGTTAGTGTTTTCCATGTCCTAGTATAGAAGTGTCTGTTTTATAAATATCCTGAAATCTGAGAAAAGACAGTGTGGAAATCAATACTTTTTATGAAACATCATATATAAATATGTAGAAGAAGAAATATAAATTAGACTTACCTGCAGAACAAGTTGAAATCCATATAACGCATATTTCCAAGACTTCAAATTGGAGTTGTTATTTTTCTTTTCTTGAAATTTCTCCGGTTGGCCATCCATCATCCCCTTCAGATGCCGCACCATCAGGAGGTATGACTCCCAAGCCCAAGGATATGCATTGAATACGTCAGGGTCATCAACTGCTTCGAGGTTGGAGGCATCAATGCATGTACCTCTATCTTTTGCTAACAACACATGCTCAACAAAACACAACGAGGCAAGCTTATGTAAATCACTGCCGAGTACATCTTCCTCCGCAGTCATAAACATATTCCGCAAGTGCGCGAAGGTGCATTTCACCGTCCCCCTCCAAGATACTTTTTGTGAATAGTCTCGGACGAAGACTTCACATTCTAAAATTTGGATATGACATGGAAGTCGGCAAACTTGTGATTCGACATAAATCTTCAAAAGTGAACTTGTGAAGAGAACCATTGATCATAAACCACATCTCGTCTTCAGGTTGTTCGCGGACGAGATGTAACATAAGGATATGGATGAGTTGTCCAGAAAATTGGAGCTTCCGCACATCCATGAAATGACCGAATGACATTTTTCGAAAGTTCACCATATTCTCTACACTCAATTTGCTCCTAACTATGGCCACTGCATCTTCTAGTTCTCCACAAACCGAATACTGCGCAGGGAAGTGATCTTTGGTGGGAACCATAAGTGCCATTTTATTGTACCTACAAAATAAACATCCGTCATTGCCATAGTCACCGGATATAAGAGAGCAAAGAAAACTAATAACCTTAGCGTAGTACTTCTATTAGAGATATGATAGTAATAAATGGGCAAAAACATGATACGAAGCACGTAAGGAAGTAACACTAAACACATACATTCTGCGTCTGTGAGTAGCATTTCACATACATTTGCCATTTTTTAAAAAACTAAACATGGAATAAAGATTATTCAGAACTTAGGGTTCATAATAGATGATCAAAAAGTAATAATTGAGACAGATAAAACATGATACAAAGCTGGCAAGAACTGTAAACAGAAAATAGATATTCCGCGTCTGTGAATAGCAGTTCACATACATTTACCTTTTTTTGGAGGGGGGGTGGAGGGAATTTTTTTTTGGAGGGGGGGTATGGAGTATATGGGGGACATCCGGTGTACATATCCGGTGTCCCCATAGAATTATCCAGAACAAAATGCTCCCCTGTTCTGCTTCTTTGTTGCTTCGTCACTTTGCCGCCAGAGAAAAGACGCCAGAATTAAGCCACTCCCTTTTCAATAGGTGTCGTGCCTTGTGTCGTCGTCGCCACCATCACCGAACCTAGGGTCGGAACCCTAGGTCGGCGGTGGCAATCCTTGCCGCTGCTATGTTCCTCTCTCTCGACTCTCTGATCTCCCTCTGGATTTGGGGTTGAAGGAGATAATTTCTCTTGTGGCCTTAGTTTTGTTGTATAATTAAATTAGAATAGATTGAATTGAAGATGAAGACTCGGCATTGCAAATAGAGAAGGATTCTTGCGCCACTTTGATTTTCTGTTTCTTGCGCCACTTAACTTTTTTCTCCCATTTCATTCTTCTTTCTTTATCTCTTTTCCTTTTAATTCTTCCTTTTCTTTAATTAGACAATGGGTTTATTTTGGGTCATGTGTGAACTTGGCCCAATCTTCATTCTTCTTTATATTGTACTCCATAAATCCAACTTTATAATCTTCCTCAACTTTTTGTGTTCCAAAATATATTTAAAAAAACATATCTATCAAGGGAAATAATACGTTCAAATTAATTTTCAAATATAAATATGTTCAAAATCATGCATTTTATGTATGAAATATAAACAATAGCCTTAAATGATAAATATGAGAAAATGTGATATTTTGGGTATAAACTGCATTAAAAAGTATCTTAAAAGTACTAAGAAATGAGAGAATAAAACATGATATTTTGCGACTCAACACAAGGCCAATGCATTGGCATAAGACTTCAACTCGATGTGCCTTGATTGAGTGATTTTAAACAAATATCTAAACAAATCTAAAGACCAAGGGACCTGGGCGGTCTGACACTTGATCAAGAAAGAAGAAAAGAAATAGTAGGAGTGGGGAGTGAGTTGACCCGGGAGAAGAGAATAAAAGTTCAAGTACTGCATGACCAAATCGTGTAGCGGAAACCTAAGGTCATACCTCATCGATGCAACATGAACTCCGACCTTGGAGTCGGGACAATTCATGGAGAAGACGTGATTTGTGGGATGAGGAGGGCGAATGACATACCCCTCCCCCACTAACCTAAAGGTTTCATCAAAGTCAACATCTTGGAGATTGTAGCCTGTATTAGTGATAAGGACGCTCTCCAGTGTAGTAACAATAAAGGGCTTAGGGTTACGAATGGGCCTTGTTTTGCGCTTGGAACAACACGAAGGTTTACACAGAGTGAGTCTAGAAGACAAAGCTACGGTGGGCCCCGCATTGAGGGGCACCACGCTCATGATCGGAAGTCTGCCGACCGGAGTCCCAAACCCATCGGGGCGAAGAAGCGGGTCAACCATAAAATATCTCCGTAAAACTATCCGCTTTGGGATCGCAATGAGATGCACCAGATGGGAATCTCTGAGTAGACGAAGACATGGAAAAAGAGGAGGAAGTCTGCTGACCTTTTGATCGGAGACGATGAAGTGAAACAACTCGAGCAGTAAAAAAAATCAGGGAAATCGCAAAAACGGAGAAGAATGGAAGAGATTTGAGAGAAATGACTTAGATAAAGAATGATCTGACCCAACCCGAAATCTGGATTGCATCAAATGGGGTGACGTGGCGAAATCTACGCCACTTACACACGAACCGCCATAAACTATTATCAAGAAACGGCTAGACAATTGGTGGGAAAGGACGATACACATCCCAAAAAATACCATGACAATTCAAAATTCAAATCGACATGCCTAAAAAGATTTTCCGCGTGTCATTTCACTCCTGAGACCTTCGCACGTACTCAGGCCGAGCAGTGGGCGACTTCTCATACTCAGCCAAGAATTTTTTCAAACTTCCACTTCAAAATTTTTGTACTTCCATACGGCCTTGACACACTTGGCCTAGGAAGTGGGGGGGATCATGATGAATACCCTAGACTGGGGGGTATCAACCCCAACAAAACAGGAAGCAGCCCAACACAAGGCCCATCTAATCACATGAAATAGACGCGCTCGGCCAAAGACGCCTTACTCGGCTAAGCAGGACTTAATGGAAACAAAGCCCTCAAAGTGGCAACAGCTCTCAGACACGCGTATCTAATAAGCTTGGATCCATGCACTCGAACCCAGGGTCAGACCTGGCCAAATCATTACTTGTCTGTCTCCCGATAATGAAATTATGCACACGGCCCTGGCGGCTAGAGGAGCCAGATAACTGGGTCACGCTCATGGGAGTCGATACGCCATGTCGTCTACTCAACGGGCCCACAATGAGGCATCGATAATACTATTCATCTGTACATTATTTGTATCCATACTATTTATAGTTAAATTTCTTGTATTATCAGTCAAAAGATACAATTCTTGTGAGCCCAACCCACTAGGTCTTGTCCTAGACAATGGCTAGGAAACACAAGTATATGACAAATGTATTGTATAAATACCCCCCCATATATAAATGAGGGAAGACACGTTTACATTCACTACCAAGCAAATATACTTACTCTACTCTTGCGACCAAAAGACACTCAGCCCTTGTTTGATATTCACCTACCTAGCCTTCTAGGTCCCGGGTTCTAAAACCCATCAATAGGGATGAAACCTTCATTATTCAATAAGATCAATTATTATCAAATTGTATCATGAAGTGTGTTTGCCTAGTTCACATTGCTATCTTCACAAACCACTTACGTCGACTCCATTCCAGTACTTGTGCTCCAAGCTACTTCTTATTTTCAATGATCAGCTTGCGAGGGGATAGTAACAATATTATGGATATTATTAGGAAATAAAATCTTATCACTGTTTACTTTTATATTGTAATGTTACCATAATTACTTATTCTACTCTAATTAGAATTCTCTATGTATTCCCTATATAGGGGAAGAGCCTTTATAATTCAATAAACTCAATTACTATCAAATTGTATCAGTTTCAAATTACATAGAAAACTACAAAAGTGAGTTCATTCATTTTGTAAAGGACATATTTTTCATTCCGTTGTGTGATAATATTTATTCTAATATGTTCGGGTACTCATTTGTAGTTTTAGCAATGTATACAAGGCATACTTATGCTTAGATTTTTTTAATTGCATAAAAATAGAATATATACAAGTTCATTCATTTTTCCAATAAAATATGTTCCACCTTATATATGGTAGTACTCATTGTGATATGTCTTAACATGCTTGTAGTTTGGTTTCAAAATACGTAGAAAAGTAGAAAAACAAGCTCATTCATTTCGAAAATGAAATAGGTTTATTCCGTTGTGTGGTAGTATTCATTCTGATATGTCCTAATACTCATTTGTAGTCTGAGTAGTGCATACAAGTCATTAGGGGTGTACATCGGTCCAACACCAAACTGGACCAACCTAAACCGAGACCGAATAATGCACTTTTCTTGGACCAGAGATTGGCCGAATAAGATAAGGACCGGCCCGGTAAAACCCAGACTGGCCCCGATTCGGACTAGAATAGGCTTTTTTTACTTTTTATTTTTAAAAAATCAATTTTATCTAGTTATTTTAAAATATCCATGTATAAAAAAAGTATTAATATTTTGTATGTCTCGACCCAGGCCATTGAATTCTTAGGGCCGACCTTGACTTAAGAGTCAACAAAATACTACTGGAGTTCTCCGTACAACACTAGATGAGGACACAGATTTTTTAGAGACTATTATGTATCACAACCCAGCATTCAAATCTTATATATATCTTGTTTTAAGTAAAAATAGAAAAAGACATCATTTAAAAAAGATGTAAAAAATCTTTGAAAAGTTCTTCTATTCTTCCCATGCAAAAAGTATTATTTGGAGTAAATTCCATAATTGGTCCTTTATAATAGGGGGGTTTCCCTATTTAGTCCTCTATTATCAAATATTACCCCAGTAGTCCTTCTTTTGTGGGTATCTTTCCACAAATAGTCCTTTTTTGATCTTCAATCATGTTGGTGTTAATTTGAGGACTAAAAGTGTAATTTCACAATGATAATATATCTTTTTTGTCCTACACAATTTCAAAGGCTGGTCCATTTGTGTCGTTTGTGAATTACAGTCGCTTTCTACTATAACCATAGTATACAAATGTGGTCTTTCGTTGGAATCCTAGCCCAAAATCATAGGTATTATCTTTGTGTTATCCGCTTAGCCAATATCGTCACTAGACATAATGTTGATGACAAATTATACTTTTAGCCTTTAAATTAACACCAACATGGCACAAGATAAAAAAGGACCATTTATGGAAACCCCCTGTTATAAAGCACCAACTATGGAATTTACTCAATTATTTGTGATATAAAATGAAAATGTAACATTCAATTAGTCTTAAAAATATAGTAACATAATTTGTAAGAAAAAATATTAATAGAATTGCCATTTTAGTTAAATTGATTATTTAAAAGAATTTGTGATAAAAAATACGATAAGCATTGAATTAGTCTTAAAGTTATTGTAACATGAGCAAAATATAAAAAAAACTTCATTTATATTATATTATTATATAAAAAAAATAAAGTTTGAACGGTCCACCGATCCAGACCGAAACCTGATAGAAAAGACCGGACCTAACCAGAACCCGAATAAGAGATTTTAGAGGACCAAAGACCAGACCGAAATTGGACCAGTCCAGACCGGTCCGGTTTGGACAGGGTTTCGGGTCGATCCGTGTTTAGACCAAATAATGCACACCCCTACAAGTCATGCTTTTGGTTTGGCTTCAAATTGCACAGAAAACTAGAAAAGCAACTTCATTTATTTTACAAACGAAGTTTGTTTAATCTTCAGTGCGCGAGTACTCAAATGTACATTTATTTTGGCAATGATATATGTACTCAACAGTGAAAAGGCAAGTTTATTCAAGGAAATTATAAATTTGCCATATTGTATAAGAAGGTAAGTACATTTAGCTGTAGCTTAAAATTTGCCGCGGAATTTGGAACTTGAGTTCAATAAAATATTCTTCATGTTTACGAACAAGGCACCGGAGCACCCCCGGGTCATCCCATGACATTTACGGGCAATGTCATGGGAACCTTGGTGTTTTATTCATTTAAACCCATTATTTATCTCAGGCCAATTAAGTACTCCATAACACTTGCTCTTGCTCTTCAACCATTTCTTATTTTGTTCCTTCAACTCTTGAATTATTCTTCTTCAAGTCAACTTTTTTTACAACACCAAGTCAACTTTTTATTTCCATGTTTTGTAAAAGAAAAATTATTATTCTAACATCATATATTGCACACATGCACAATTCTTAATCGAATAACCACTGTTCGGTCAGATCTGTAGGGCCCTCGGAGATAGAGCTCATCTTTTTTTCTTAATCAAATAGCCAATATTAGTTCTTTTACATCATCATAAGTTTTATTTTAACTTAATAAGTTTAGAGTCTAAATTATTAAATACCAAAAGGCCTTTTAGAATGATTGGACGGGCCTGCTCGTACTCATAAAACGAGCTAGTTACATTTGGGCCTACTAGCCTAGTGAATATTTTCTCTGTCGAACAATAAACTTCCCAGTTATTATCATGGACTCTCGATAACATATGTTTGTTTGCAAATTTCAATCGATCATTTTATGGTACTCTACTATAGAAAAGGCTTTTTAAATCGGTTTTTTACCTTTTTAAATCGGTTTACAAACGATGCAAAAGGTTGCAATTCAATTGATGGTTTTACTTTTTACATTGGTGGTACAACCGATGCAAAAACCCTTTCCCAGAGCTTGCACCATTTCTGGAAAGGAGTTTTTGCATCGGTCATTGAGGAATAATCGATGCGAAAACCCCTTCCTAGAATCGGCACCATTTCTGGGTTGTTTATGGGCAAGAGTTTTTGCATCGGTTATTTGGGAATAACCGATGCAAAAACCATTGCCCAGAAATGGCACTGTTCTGGGAAGGTGTTTTTGCATCGGTTATTTCTCCGATGCCAAAACCCTTTCTCAGAATTGGCGCCATTTCTGGGAAGGGGTTTTTGCATCTCTTCTTCCAAAATAACTTATGCAAATAGTGTTCTTTTTTTATAGCAGCAGTTTGTACGAAGCAGGCGCACTTGCAATTTTTAACCGAATGCACAGAATCAAACCGGGCAAGATAGTGAACATTTACATCACTTACACCAAAACCGAAAAATATCAAAATTTACAAAATATAACACCACAACTAGAAGTCATGCAACATTACAAATGCATAAAATTTACACTACTTCNCCCCCCCCCCCCCCCAAAAAAAAACCTCTCTAATCTCCTCTAATTCGGCTGCGGTGTACGGCGAAGTAGATTAAAATACCTACTATACGAACAAAAACATACAAGATAAATTTCAATAATCTTTAATAAAGAACCAAAAAGACTTTTGTTTCAAAAAACACAAATGAACTTACATCAGATAACAGTATGGAACACTGAGCACACAAAGTGATGATGAGCCATACAAATCGCATAGTATGATATCCACACTGTGTCCCCCCTGGTTGTTGGGGTACTCCAAGAACATCAATCCAACCTGGTCGAGCCTTAAGCTTAGACATGTCTCGTTCCCAAAGTAACCGCCAACACAACAACAACATCCCAGTTGAATCCCACTACAGTAGGGTTTGGGGAGGGTGTGTGTACGCAGACCTTGTCCCTACTCGGAAGTAGGGAGGCTGTTTCCAAGAGACCCCTGGCTCAACCTGCACAAAATTATGGAAGGGAACACAGTACAGTACGGGTAAAGCACCAAGTAAAAGCAACAAGTACAAGCAATAGCAAAAGATTCCAAACAAACACAACACACTACAAACAACCTCTACAGCACCGAGCTCCTATCCAGCTACTCTAATCCTAGTTCTCTAAAGGTTCCTATCTAAGGCCATATCCTTAGTCAGGCTTAGAAGTCCTAAATCCTACCTAATCACCTCCTTCCAATTTTTCCTAGGTCTACCCCTTCCCCTACTTCCCCCGATAATCGTAATCCTCTCGCATCTCCATACAGGGGCGTCAGCATCCTGCCGTCTCACATGACCAAACCATCTCAACCTCGCTTCCCATAACTTATCTTCCACCGGCGCCATGCCTACCTGACGTCGGATAACTTCGTTTGAAATCCTATCCAACTTTGTCTTCCCACACATCCATCTTAACATCCGCATCTCCGCCGCATGCAGATGACGCACATGAGTCTTCTTAACCGCCCAACACTCTGCACCATATAACATAGCAGCTCTCACTACGGATCGATAGAACTTACCTTTCATCCTAGGCGAGATCTTCGGATCACACAACACCCCTGAAGCTAACCGCCATTTGGCCCAAGCCACTCCAACACGATGTCAAACATCCCCATCTAACTCCCCATCAGCCTGGATCACCGAGCCAAGATATCGAAACCTGTCTACCTTAGGTACTAGGTGAGAGTCAATCCTAACTTTCACTTCTGATTCTGTTTCCTGACCGCTGAAACGACATTCCATGTATTCAGTCTTGTTCCTACTTATTCTGAATCCTTTAGTCTCATGGGCAAGGCGCCATAATTCCAACTTATCGTTAAGTCCCTCATGTGTGTCGTCGATAAGCACAATATCATCTGCGAAAAGCGTGCACCATGGGACTCCTTCTTGAACACCTTGGGTTAGGACGTCCATCACCAAGGCGAACAAAAAAGGGCTAAGGGCAGACCCCTGGTGCAACCCCATCCCTACCGAGAAAGACTCAAAGTCGCCGCCAGAAGTCCTCACCCTGGTCATAGCCCCATCGTACATATCCTTGATAGCGCGAGTGTGCACGATGGGAACTTCTCTCGTCTCAAGGAACCTCCATAAGACCTCCCTTGGCACCCTATCGTACGCCTTCTCAAGGTCAATAAACACCATATGAAGGTCCTTCTTCCTAGCCCTATACTCTTCCATTAACCTCCTCACGAGATGAATGGCCTCTGTAGTCAATCTGCCAGGCATGAAACCAAACTGGTTCTCAGAGATGCAAACCCCTTTCCACACCCTATACTCAATGACTCGCTCCCAAACCTTCATGGTGTGGCTAAGCAGTTTGATGCCTCTGTAATTCTCGCAGCTCTGAATGTCACCTTTGCCTTTAAATAGAGGGACCAAGAGACTCTCCCTCCATTCATCAGGCATCCTTGCTGTCCGGAGGATAACATTGAAAAGTTCGGTTAACCAAACCCTCGCACCACAACCCGCATGCTTCCAAAACTCCACCGGAATCTCATCTGGTCCCAAAGCTCTCCCACTACGCATCCCGCGGAGGGCCCAAACCACCTCTTCCTGGCAAATGCACCGGCAATACACACGAGACGCCCCAGATTGCCCCAACTCATCAAGAACTAGCCTCTGGTCTCCTCCCGCGTTTAAGAGTTCACTAAAGTACTCCCCCCAGCGCTTAGCCACCTTGGCAGTCTCAACTAATACTCTACCATTGCTGCCCTTCACGCATCTCACGTGATCTATATCTTGCGCCTTCCTCTCACGCACCTTAGCAAGCCGGAATAGTGAATTAACACTACCTTTCTCCTCAATATCCTTGTAGAGGCGTTCAAAAACGGCATTCTTTGCCCTTCTAACCTCTAACTTAGCTTCTTTACGTGCCTTCTTGTACTCCACCCGTAATGCCTCTCTTTCCTCCTCAACATTGCAGCCCATGTACCTCAAATACGCCACACCTTCTTAGCTTCCACCTTACTTTGGATTGAATCGCTCCACCACCAATCACCCTGACGCCTACTCCTAGAGCCAGAGCTCACCCCTAACACTTCCCGGGCAGTTTCCCTGATGCAGTTAGCAGTCCGCGCCCACATATCAGTGGCCTCTCTGGTCGATTCCCACGCACCTTTCTCCTGCACTCGCCTGATCAACTCAGAGATACTCTCCCCACTTAGTAACCGCCAAGACCTTTTTTAAAAATTTAAAAAAGAAATCAATAAGAAATAACGTTTGTAAGAAATAAATAATTTCATAAATATTATTAATAAACTTATACTAATACTTACTCATTTACGAAAGTCTTCACTTTTATTTTCTTATGTCCTCCGGACTCGAAGATTTAGTTAAAAAAAATACACTTTCTTTCATACAAGCGTATTACAACAAACACTCAATGTTGCCTACAATTCAAAAAGCGTTAGAAATTAGCTTCGTAATCAATATAAAAAACCAGAATCCATATTTAAAATGATTTAGAAAACTTATGAGCTCGGGAGAAACAACAACATTAGTATCCAGGGTCACGATTGATAGGATTCAAGTGCTCTATCTAAATACTGGCAATCTCCCACCGCATGAACTCCCGTATATCCTCTGGTGGCATCCTCAGCTCTGTCTCCTCTTTAGAGAGCTGCTGGTAGGTAGAGCACATATGCGTGTCAGCCACTAACACAACTCTCTGCATCTTGACCCAAAACGAGCGTACAAACTCTAGTCAACAACGTCCTGTACGGGAGAGCTCGGAGTAGAAGTGTGGAAAACGCCTAGAATAGGACGACGTTTGGTTAATGAGAAATTTCTCTGGCGACTTGTGTGCACCAGGGGCTACGAATGCATGCAAAAACAAAGAAATGTGAAACACGGCCAAAATGAAGTTTGTTGAATATGTGTTAGTCCTAGAGGCCAACTTATGATTTGTATTTGGATTATTTCAAGAATAAAGGCTCTGAAGAATGTTTAAATAATCTAGTGTACTCTAGACATAGCCTTAGTCCATAGATTAGTGCTCTAGTAACATAGATGAGAACTACGATGTTCTCATTGTGAGACTCTTACAAATATAGAGACTAGATCTAAAACATCCTTAGTCGAATATCATGATAATACAGACGTCATAATATATTAAGACTAATACGTATTAGATGAGATAGCTGCGTCTCATAGGCTATAGATAAGGTGTTATCTGAATCTATATGTAGGCAAATATATTGGATATATTGCTCGATTGACCTACCATGAAAATCCTATATGGGTATACTTTGAAATCTGTTAATAGTATGTATTTTTATACGACCATTTATATAACTATTCTTAGACTTGAAGTTATTACGATTCTTGGTATGCATAGCTACATGCTTTGAGATATAATTAATGCCATTTGAAATGTTAATAGATGTAATGTTTTGAGCATGTAGTAAAACATAAGCAAGGATGTGAATGATGTAGAAAGAATTTATCCCTTCCTTTTTGGAAGTATATAATATCTACGGGCCCACTGATTGATGTGACTTACAAAGTGTATGGTCATACCTAGATAAATTAGTATAGATGATATTAATGTTATCTGAATCCCATAAGGAAATCAAAATAATCAGTAAACCTTTGATTTAACTTTAACAAGGTGACACATCTCACACCTTGTGTTAAATCTAGATATTAGTGATAAAGGGATAAGAGTTATTAAATGAAATGTGTCGTTGAAGGAATTGTTCTAAGAGCTTCATATCTATAACATAGAGATGACAATGTGTTGCTAGATATCGCTTGCCACTTGTAGTAATTTAATACTATGGCCAAATATTATACTATTATGTTAATTGTCATTTAGATATAATTAGTTTATACACTTTAATTTGTTAAGACATTAAGGATAAGATGTTTAGGTTTTTTTGTACGTTTTGACCCAGGCCATCGAATTCTTAGGTCGACCCTGACTTAAGAGTCAACAATAATACTACTGTGGGGCTCCTATACATTTTTGGGACTCATTTCTACACCAAAAAATTCTTTCATTTATTCAAAAATTAAATTTGAATAATCTTTGAAAGTATGTGGAGCCTTACCACAGATTTCAATGTTGGAAATAAACCCATAAGTCCAAAAATGTATTTCATCTCGTAGACATGCTTTGGGTCCTTCATGTTTGTGAATTATTCATCAGTGGACCGATCTCCGGGGTAAGAGTCAACAATAACGTTACTGGAGTTCTTCGTACAACACTGGATGAGGATAAAGATGTTTTAGAGACTATTGTGTAACACAACCCAGCATTCAAATCTTATATATATATATATATATATATATATATATATATATATATATATATATATAATGAAAATTTAACGTTCAGTTAGTCTTTAAAATATAGTAACATAATTTGTAAGAAAAAACATTAATAGAACTCCTATTTTAGTTAAATTGATTATTTAAAAAAATTTGTGATAAAAAATACGAGAAGCATTGAATTAGTCTTAAAGTTATTGTAACATGAGCAAAATATTTAAAAAACAATTCATTTATATTATATTATTATATAAAAAAAATTTTAAAAAACTAAAGTTTGACCGGTCCACTGATCTAGACTGAAACCCGATGGACTAGACCGGACTTAACCAGAACTCGAATAAGAGATTTTAGAGGAACGAAGACCGCACCAAAATAGGACCAGTCTAGACCAGTCCGGTTTGGACAAGGTTTCGAGTCGATCTGAGTTGAGACTGAATAATGCACACCTCTACAAGTCATGCTTGTGGTTTGGTTTCAAATTGCACAGAAAAGTAGTTCATTTATTTTAGAAATGAAGTATGTTTAATCTTTAGTGCGCAAGTACTCAAATGTACATCCATTTTGGCAATGATATATGTACTCAGGAGTGAAAAAGCAAGTTTATTCAAGGAAATTATAAATTTGCCATATTGTATAAGAAGGTAAATAGAGTTAGCTGTAACTTAAAATTTGCCGCGGAATTTGGAGCTTGAGTTCAATATAATACTCTTTCAGTTTCATATTTTTCTTTTAATTTGACCTTTTACAGTCTTTAATGCAATACTTTGAGTCTTTGACCATTAATATTGCTATTTATATTTAAATAAATATTATATGAATATGATATTTCAAATTAGGTTTAAAAAAGAATATATTAGTACTAATTTTATACCACAATTTAATATATTTTTCCCCGTAATTTGTGGTCAAAGCTTTAAAATGTGATTATAAAAGTCAAAATTAAAAAAAATAGGACATAGGAAGTACTCCGTGAATGAAAATAAAATAAATTTAAAATCGGCTTAGATTCTTTCAATAACAATGGTAAAATATGAAAACGTCTGGTGGAGTGGTTCTTTCAAAAGAGCCGTTATTCAACGGCTAGTTTCCGGGTTCAGAGACATTATCTTGGCATTCACTTAAATACTTAAACTCCACTCGTCATATTCAATCCTCACTTCATATCATTCTCTCCAAAATTAGCCATAGCCGCACAAACCCAAGGCCATCCACCTAAAATGAATGATCTGATGACGAAATCCTTCACGAGCTACGTGGATCTGAAGAAAGAAGCCATGAAAGACCTTGATATCGAAATGGGCATGTCTCAGATCGACCACAACCTCTCCGCCTTCCTAGAGGAAGCGGAGAGGGTGAAAACGGAGATGAACTCGATCCGAGAAATCCTTGTCCGGCTCCAGGAATCCAACGAGGAGATCAAAGCCCTCCACCAGCCCGGGGCTCTGAAGTTGGTGCGGGACAGGATTAACGGCGACATCATGGCGGTCCTGAAGAAGGCGAGGGCGATCAGATCGGAGCTGGAGGGGATGGACCGGTCCAATGCCGCGAACCGGCGGCTCTCCGGCTGCAAGGAGGGCACACCGGTGGACAGAACGCGGCTGGCGGTGACCAACGGGCTGAGGAAGAAGCTCAAGGAGCTGATGATGGAGTTTCAGGGGCTGAGGCAGAGGACAATGAGGGACTACAAGGAGACTGTCGGGAGGCGGTACTTCACCGTCACCGGAGAGCAAGCCGACGAAGAGGTCATTGACAAGATCATCTCCACCGGAAACGGTGAAGAATTTCTCTCCAGAGCAATTCAGGTACTATATATGTAATAAAAATTCCTTCTCTTTTCTAAACAAAAATTGGAACTAAATTTCCTCCATTATATTTAGGAGTTTGATTCTTTTGACATTAGTCCCAAATGAATGACATTGGCTTTATTCAGACACTTCACATTTCCTACCCTTGACCTCTAGATAAACTTCTTACCCCGCTCAATATGAGCCGACCACCCTTTTAATTGAACCACCCAAATTATGTTAATTTTGGGGTCAAATGTTTTTTCACAAATCAACTAAACAGTATGAAAAATTGATGGGGTGGTTCAATAGAAGGGGTGGAGTGATCGGCTCGGGTTGGACTGGGGTAGGAGATTTACAAGGGGTTAAAGGATAGCTGGGTAGAAACAGTATGAAAAATTGATGGTTCCTAGTCTTAGTGGTTGCCAATGAGTATTTTGGGGAGAGATGCTTATTGATTAGAAATTGTGAAAAAGTAAAAGTATCAATCTTATAAGAATATAAAACTGTGGCAGGAGCAGGGGAAGGGGAAGGTGATGGAGACGGTGGAGGAGATACAAGGGCGGCACGAGGCGGCGAAGGAGATAGAGAGGAGCCTGCTGGAGCTGCACCAGGTGTTCCTGGACATGGCGGTGATGGTGGAGGCGCAGGGGGAGCAGCTGGACGACATCCACCACCAGGTGATGAATGCCTCCCACTTCGTGGGGGAGGGGGCCAAGAGCCTCCACACCGCCAAGGAGCACCACAAAAGCAGCCGCAGGTGGATGTGCATCGGGATGATCATACTTCTCTTGATCATCGCTCTCCTCGTCCTTGTCCCCATCGCCACTAGCTTTGCCAAATCTTGAGAGTTTTCATTCATCATCATCTGTTTTCTTTTATTTCCGCCCGCCCAAATGGTCCTTCCTCCCTTAGGACTTGTTTTAAACCCTGATGAACAAACAAATATCCGCTGTGCTTCATTTTCTTTCGATGAGTGAATTAATGGCATTTTTTCCTCTCTAACTACCAAAATGCATTCACATAGTCCAGACCGCCGCAAACCAAGTAAGGTGATTTGTTTTGGCATGTTTTGAAAATAAAAAATGCTAGGGTACACCATTTGGGTACTCCATTTGTACCCCTCCATGTCCACCACACAAAGCAAGGCAAGAGAGAGAAAAAAAATTAAAAATAAAAAAATAAATGAAGGGCTAGGATCATAGTTTTCAGAACCGGACCGGTGACCGAACCGGTCTCAGTACTGGTTCACTGGTTTACTGGTCGAACCAGTGGTTCAACTGGTCGAACCGGTGGTTTAAACATTTTTTAAAATTATATATATATATATATATATATATATATATATATATAGGCCACACACTCTCTCTTATTTATAAATACTTAAGAGTAAATAATGTATAACATTTGACCAAATCTATAATAATTTACTTCAGTTATGTCACTAAGTTTAAAAAATAAAACTTACATATTTAAAAAATAATATTAAACATTTTATAAACAAAGAGTTGATTTTATTTTTTTCAAATAAATTATCTAATATGAAAAACACTGAAATAAAATCTTTGCATAATATTTGTAATTCTATCAATTATATCAATAATTCTGAGTTTGAATCATAACTATAATATTATATTTTTTAAAATTCTTAAAATGAAAAGAAATCTTTAAACATTTTTTAATAATGTAATATTAAAAATTATTAAAGTGAACTTATAACACAAAGACACTTGAGCTGAGATGGTTAGGCATTTAACTTTGGTAGCAGGAGGTCTTGGGTTGGAACCCTTATGGGGTGAGATTTTTGGGCGAAAAATTGCAAAAAAAAAAAAAACTGTCTGGCCGGCGAACCGGCCGGTTTTTTCCGGTTCACTGCGGTTCGTAACGGTTCGATGCAAGTTGCGGTCCAAGGTGCCGGACCGGACCGGACCGGTTGGACCACCGGTTCGCCGGTTCACGGTCCGAACCGGCCGGTCCGGTCCGGTTTTTAAAACTATGGCTAGGATGCATGGTGTACAAAATGGGGTACCCATTCCTCTTTGAAAATTTTAAACACCGTAAATCTATTTAAAAAAATTGTAATAGTACTCTTAATGAAACAAATTTTTAAAGTTTTTCAATTCATTTTATTTTAATATTGGTACAGAAATAAAAAATAAAAGTTACATAATTAATTAAAAACTATTCCCTCCGTCCCACTGTCTTTGTCCACTTACCGTTTGGCACACCATCCAATGCACTTTTTTAATTCATTTTATCTTGTAATTTGTATATTAAAGAATCATAGAAATTATATATTAATAATCTATATGTTAAGGACAAATCAAACAAGATCACACATGACTATATTTAGGCTTACACATTGAGAGAATTTGATGAGTCAAAGTGCTTAAATGAACAGTTCCAAAAGTCAAAAGTGGGCAAAGACAATGGGACGGAGGGAGTATATAAGAATTTTACAAAATAAGATGTGACAAAAAGATTTTATTTTAGGAAGAAATTGATTTTTGAAGAGTTTTTTTTTGTTTTTTGAAGGTGATTACGTAGACTCATTAATTACAAATTACTCCGGTACATCAATTGGTCTAATGAGTGAATCACAAATGTCCAAACTTGAATAAATTTGGGTAAATTTCACAGATGGTACCTGAACTTTAGCTGAAATTTCGAAGTGGTACCTGAACTTCAAATCCTTTCACAAAAATCTCTGAACTTACACAATCCTTTCACTAATGAGCCATTAGCCCGTTTCTAGGTTAACTTCCGGTCATTAGGGTCACATTCGAATTTTATATATTTTAAAATTTTCAATTTGACCACATTTCTTCTTTTCTTTTCTTCCACGCCCCACCGCCGCCCGCTGGTCAAAGTCGCCGGAAAATGAATTTTTTCCGATTCCGGCGGGACCAATGTCATTCTCTTCGTCTTGAGACGAGGATCAATAATATCCAAACCATTTTGTCTAATTTGGCCTGTAACTTCTCGAATCTGAATTTTTCTACTCGAAAAAACCCTAAAATTCGAAATTGGATCCAAAATTGGGGGTTTTTCAAATCTTCATCAAATCTTGCAATTGAGGGGTCCTTGGAGATCGCCCGGATGCCACGACCGCATTGGAGTTGGTGCCCGCCGTCAATTTCGCCGGATTTAGCCGGAAAACGCTCCGAATAAATTTAAACATCTAAACTATGTGCCATCATTGGAGCCCATAGTTACTAGAAAGGTGTATAATACTCTGTATTCCACATCATTTTTAAAAAATCATTTTTACTCTTACTTTTTCATATTCTATCTATCACATCATATTTTTTTTATTAATAATCTATACATCACATACTTTAACCTATCACATCAAAAGTATTTTCAAAAATATTAATACAAAAATATTCTTCTTTTAAATTTTCAAAAAGTCAATAAGGGAAACATTTTAAGGAGAGAAGAAGTAAAGTACGGAGTATTTTCTAAAAATAACTTCCCATTTGACTTTTCACGGTCTCCAATGCGGCACTTTGACCATTAATATCTCCATTTTTATAGGAATATATATTATCAAAATGATATATTTCAAAACTATGTTTCAAAATTAATCTATTGATACTAAATTTATAAGAAAATTCAATATATTTTTTCTGTAATATGCAGTCAAAGTTTAAAAACTTTGACTGCAAAATCAAAATGGAAAATTAATTTTAGAAGGGAGGGAGTATTTTATAATAGGGTCTATCTTTGAGCATCTGCTACTATTATGGGTACTCTTATTATTTGAAGATTGGACAAGATGCAGTGCCTTTAACCTAGATTTGGAAAGTCATAATAGCACTCTACATATTACGGAGTGCTATCAATAGGGGTGGACACGGTACGGTTCCGGGATGGTTCTGGTTCTGGTACCGCCACCCCTTGATACCGGTACCGTGACCGGACCGGGCAGTACCGGTTTCGGTACCCGGACCGGCGGTTCCGGTACCGGACCGGCCGGTTTCAGCCACCCCCAATTATTTATTTATTTTTTTTGCTTTTTTTTAAAAAATTTTTAAAGTGTAAAATTATACATATGTAATTGTTAAAGGAAAGAATGAAATAAAAAAATCTAAAAATGTAGTTGTTATTTAAATATTGTAAAATGAGTAATACATGAACTGAAGAACAAATACATTTAATATCCTGACGGTTTATAAAAACCGACGAGGTAAAGAACCGTAAAGCAACCCTCGAAGGAGCTTATATATCGCTCACCTAAAAAAACTAATTACATATTTACATATCTACATTAACATAAAAAAAGTTTATAACTTATTCCTCAGAACTCGGACTTCCATGTGTGGTTGCATTCATGTAATGATCGGAATTGAATTCGTACCCTGACTCTTGAGCTCGACGTCTTGCCAAGAGCCAATCTCGATTGCAAACAAGTGTTTCAAGAGATTCAGCGCTAAGACAACTTCGGAAGTCAGTTAGAATGTTGCCGCCAGCACAAAATTCGTGTTCCACTGCTACGGTTGATACCGGGACGGACAACACTTGTCTTGCTAGCATTCCGAGACATGAGAACATGTGTTCGTTCCGCTTCCACCATCCGAGGACGTCAAACTCCACGTCACCATCGTCGTCGTAATCGCATGGCACCCCTTGGTACATATCAAGTTCGTTGTGCGAGCTTAGTGTTGTACCACCTGAACTCATCGAAGGCTGAGCACGCTTCCCCTTCTTTGCAAGAAGCACATCGACTATTCCTTTAAAACCTTTTTTTGATTTGGGAGCGGAGGAGGTGTTGTTTCTTCTCGTACATTACCGTATAACCCTTGATATTCTTTAAATAAAGCCTCAAAAAGAGTTATAGCATTATCTCTTTCTTTTTCTCATTCTATTAAATGGCTGTAGTAATAATTACTTTCATCTAAAAAACAACTGTAGTAATAGTCAATTAGAATTTTATAATTTTCAATCTTAAAGCGTGGATCACAAATAATACCTATTTTATAAATATCAGGAATGTACAAATAATAAGCACATCATTTATCTTTCATAGGACAGACATAAGGGTACAAATCTGGATCAGCCAAACTTTCACGAAAACATGTTACGATTGTAACACATTCTTTAAAAAATGTATTTGTAGTTGGTTGGTAAACATGCAAAAAAGTAAGAGTTGCGTTATTAAAAACTTCTAATACAGCATTCAATTTTTCAACAATAACAAATTCAATAGGTGAAATCATTAAAAGAAGTTCATCCCTAAAATATTCAGCAAGTTCCTCTTCGTAGCTTAGAATATGTGATATCAACTTGTATGTACTATTCCATCTAATGGTGATATCTTTGGCAAATGTTATTGCTCTTCTACCCTTAGACTTGCAGAATAACTTCCAGGAATTCGAATGAAGATGACTACCCTAAATCTTTCTAATTCCATTTTTAATATTTGTCAAACCCCCCTCATTGTTTCTAATCCCTGCTGAACACACAAATTTAAAACATGACAAGCACACCTTTGATGCAGAAATCTACCCATACTCGTAGTTGGGGACATATTTCTTTAAGTCTCGGAATAGCAGCAGGATTATTAGTAGCATTATCAAAACCAAATGCAAACACTTTATCAACTAAATTGTATTCTTGAAGAATACGCTGAAGCAATAGAAAAATATTTTCAGCAGTATGCTGATAATTGAAATCACGAAATGCAAGAACACGTTTATGCATAATCCAATCACTATCTATCCAATGACAAGTAACACCCATATAAGACAAATTATGATATGTTTCACCCCAAATATCAAAACAAATAGTAACACGAGAATTAAAATTGAGAAAAAAATTTGCCAAATTTGCTTTTTCAAGTTTATACTGTCGAAAGCAAAAACAAATATTGTTGAGAAAGAAAAAAAAATAAAAACCGGTACTGGTACCGGCACCTCCGGTACCGAAAATTTGGCACTGGAACCGGTACTGAGGGGGGCGGTACCGGTACCGGTTCCCGGAACCGGTGGAACATCCCG